ACATTTAATTTAAAAACTGTACTTTTGAGGTTAAACAAATGTTCATAATTAATTTAAATAAACTACGAGTTAAAAGGGGCATGGACATTTCTCTTTTTTGTATCGAAAAAATATCGAACCGTGAGACTAAAGTATTGAACTGAACCGTGAATTTCCTGTATCGTTGCACCCCTATATATATATATATGTTCAACTTTTGTGCTTAAGACTTTAAAACTAGAGTGCAAAGGGAGTTTTAAAAACATTTCTTGAAAACGTATAAAATTTCCATCTAATTTTGAGTATAAACCACTTAAACTGGAGCAAAATTCTGCAAAGAATGCCAAAACAACTGACGCATCTTTGCACAGTTAGAACTACCTGAGCAGGATATATTTAAAAGAGTGCTTCTCTTACCGGCTCAACAAACTCGAATTTTTTCTTCTCTTGCACTTCTTGTATTTTGAAAACGTACTCAAGGGAGGCGTCATAGAAGAGTTGTCTCTCTTTATCAATATGCGTGTCGGCCTGAGAATAAACAAACAAAACAGCAGCGTTAGTGCCGTAACAACGACACGGGTCAACCTGGGAACGTGGACGGAGTAAATGCCTACATTTCTGCAACAGAGAACTGTGTGTGCTGAGGCAGGTGAAGATCCAAGTAAAAGCATGCGCGAACACACACGCATGCACACACAATATATCAGTTTTTTTTCTTGAAGACACTCGGCCGACCATAAAACAGCATTATTCAAATACATGTAAGGGATGAGGAAATTTGTTTTGGTTTTACCTCCTGCAGATATGCCTCTTTCTTCTTAGATGACAGGTTGAGGTGTCTCTCAAGTGTGGAGTAGTATTTCTCTGTTTCCTTATCAAATTTTTTCTTTACCTCCTAAGACACACAAAAGGCTTACGCATTACTTGGAGAAAAAAAAAAGTCAAAACAACTGTCTTATCTTTGATCTGAGGCGTGTGGCTGAGTTACCACTAGGTGGAGGTCTAGCTACAGTACATTTACCCAAACTACCTGCCATCTTTCATTTAAAATTCTGTCAATAGATTATTGTAGGTCATAAAAGTGGCATAAGACATGTGTAATGACAAGCCAGCAATGTCAGCATCTCTGCGTCTGATCAATATAAGGAGCCCCAGCTGGGGACATAAGTTCAAAGCAAAATACATAACACTGTAAATCACAAACGGAATAATGCATCTGGCAGAGTCAGAGACGGGAGCGACTGGATGCTGTTAGCATTTCGTTTCCCTTGATATGCACTACTGTCCACCTGCAGGAATAAGTCAAGCTCTACAGTCACAAGTCCCAGGATTCAGACAGGGTTTCAGAAAGCTTTGAGAAAGGCACAGGAAATGGGCTTTTCATTCCAGACTCCCATCTACAGAGCGAGAAATACTTACACCCCCGAAAAAAAAAAATGGATTCAGTTTGTAGGCCTTAATCAAACTCAGCCCAAGCAGAGAGAGATATTCTCTGGATGAGGGCATTCATGTGTCTCATCTGCAAATGTGACCTCCAAACCCAAGCTTTGCCTACTTAATGCCCATCTCTCTGCATGCAGAGCTGGAGGACAGACATGGTAAATGGGGGATGGGGGGTGGGGATGGAGAAAGTGTGAGGAAACGGCCACTGGAACCAGATCCGGCTTGTTTGTTTTCATTCCCATGGCCCTGAAATTTAGCAAGTCTAATCTACCAGCTAGTGATATGAATAGTGTTTTGTCTGAACAACTCCCACAGAGGAATTCACAACAAGACACAGCATTGCTCCAACATACCTACAGCACCAAAAATCAATAGATAATTTCATGTCGTGGCATCTTATTTCTATTTTTCTTACAATGTCTGGCCCAGAAATGATCTTTTCAGGAGTGAGGACAAAAAAAAATCAATTCAGTATGTGCTTCACTTCGAAAACAAAGGAAAAGTTAAACAGCAAAAATAAAAAAATATGATTAAAACACACTGACAAGAACTCAGTTTTCCCAATGGGATTTATTCTATTCCTTACTATCTTTATAATTTTGCCACTGTGACTGCTGGTGATGTGACGTTATTTGGTAAGCACAGCCAAAACCCTTGGGAAAACACACACACACACACACACACACACACACACACACACACACACACACACACACACACACACACACACACACACACACACACACACACACACACACACACACACACACACACACACACACACACACACACACAAAGCACACTGGGGATCGTATTAAATTAAAGAGCTTTAGCTGACTCCAACAGTCACAGCAGGAATCTCTGCAGTACTGCTGACCAGTATGAGCATGCCAGAAAACTCAGAAAATTAAAAGAAAACATTTCTGTGCATCTGGAGCCGTACTTTCACACTTACAATGAGCAGGCGGTGACTCAGTGCTGTTGTGAATTTGTGAGCCAGAGTCGGACTGATTAAGTCACCGAAGAAGTAAATGCTGTGTTTTGATCCTAGCAGGATGCTACAAGCTGGTCCCACTGTTACCATACCTCAGCAGAACAGTGTGTTTGATGGTTGGTTTGTCTGCAACTTTATCTGCAGCACGTTGGAGCAGTGAGAACAGAATATGGGTAAAGAAATCTCAAGAACTTTACAGAAAGTTGGTGCAGTGCAAGGAAAACTCTTTGAAGCCCAATAGGTGGGAACAGATTACACCAATGAATACATTCCCAAAAGTGAACATTAGGGGTCGGACTTTTTGAGACAAACTAAGATCCTGTCCATACGAGAATGGAGTTGAATATATGCAAATAAAAAATACCCAGATGTCTCTCTGTTATCTTCCCAAAATCATAAAAATATCTACTGATTTGAACTAACATGGCTCCCAGTAAGAGTATTTCAATGTTGCACAAAGAATCTCCACCTAGATATCAATCCACAGAAATGATTTAGTTTTTGCTCTTGCCTTCCCCATCCTCACCTCTTTCGTGCGCTACAGGCTATGTCCAAAATTCAGGGGCTGGGTCCTTTGAAGGACCTGGCCTACATGGTCTAGGTGGGCCAGGTCCATGGTCGACTGCCAAGACTGGAAAAAGGTGGCTGTGAATTTGGACGGTCAACACAACCGCTTGAAACCTTTAACTTTTATACCACCAGAGTTTTATTTAAAACTATACTCCTTTCTCTCACTTCCACTCCGGTCGGCCCGTGATGCATTATGGGATATGGTGCGCAGAGAAGGATCCATCGGTCCCTCAAATCGGGGAAAAAGGACACATTTGTCGACCACATTGGACGAGTCTTCGAATCTGGCCAGCCTCTGGCTCGGCGCTTTGATGTAAACTGCCTTCGGAGGACCCAGCCTCTGAATTTGGACCAAACCACAGTTCTGAGCCTTCACGCCTCATCTTCTTTACTGTTTCTGGTGTATTTTCACTACAGTGCCACATACAGGTCTGGTGTAGTTACTACAGTTGTTTGGGGTTCTTTCTATGTGGATGAAATCATTTTCAGAAACAGTGCCATGTTTTTGAGGGGAAAAAAAAGATCGTTTTAGGAAGTCAGCGTTCACGTGTTGAAGGGGGTGGGGCTTAAATCCTGTGCCGGAGAGCGATCATGGAGCTGAATAGAATACAAGCACTTGCCAACCATCTGAAGGCACACAGAATGCACATCAACCTATCATTTGGGTGATTTCCTCATCTGATTGCTTTGTATTCACTCATGAATAAATCAGATGCGACAGGAAAATATTCAAATGCAGATTGCCCTGTAGTGGAATTCCTAACTGGTGAAGCCTCACGCTGCTGTTGGGAGAGTTTTAATGGTAGCGGTAGTGGTGGGAAACTTTGTTTTTTTAATAGCCAGAACTCTGGAAGAAAAAATATACAAGAAAACAAATGATGCCATTTTGCTTTTTTTTGTTCGTTTGTTCCTAAGTAAGGATGGTGAGAACTGAAAAAAAACTGTAGGAGAAATATCGACAGTGGTAAATTTTGACAGTGGACCTAACAAGCCACAGAGCCATCATTTCTGAACCTTTGAGCACCATGGCAACAGATGTAAGCTGCAAATATCAATGGCTAGTCAGCTATTATGTGCAGTACTGACCACATTTTCAAGTTAAAACAAATTCTCTGAGTGGCATGAAAGGGAGAAGTCAACAACCTATCTTTGAGCTCATTAGGGACTGCTAATTGGAGTATGGCTTCAGAGTGGTGAATAAAAAGCAATAGTTGAAGTATTTTGATGTTCCACTATACATGAGCTGATCTTCGATGAACAAGGCAGGCAGAAATAAAAACAAGAGTCCATGAGCAAGAGTTCTAGCTACTTTGCTGAAAAGCCAAAAAAGGCTTTTCTCTTTAGTTAAACATCCCAAATTTCAGAGAGACGCTGGGAAATTAGCAGGAAATGATTACAAAAATATGCTCTTGAAGAATTTAAATGCAAATGCCAAGAATATAATTGGGACTATGAAGAACTGCAAACATCTTATTATAAAATGTAACATTTCATCATGTGTCACAGAAAGGATTTAGATTAAATATACAGCTCGAAAACATTTACAAATACATATAACTGTCTTTTTGGGGTTAAAATCAGTAAAATTGGTTTTGTGTTTGAGTCTTAAGGTCTGAATAAAGTTGAATGAAAAAAACCTTTATCCTTATTAATTTAATCTTTAAGTTATCATATAAAAAGAGTTGTTTGACAAGTTGAATCGTGCTCTTCACTGTCTCACATAAGGATGTCTTTGGTTTCACACTGTCAATCTGAGCCCATTTGCTGTATTTCTCACGATGCAACCTTTAAAAAAACAAGTGGCCGAAAAACAACTTGAATCAATCAACATGTATTTAATATTAAACTTAGGCCACCTGTCAAAAAGATTTCGATTTTATAATGAGGGCCCATAACATTATGCAATTAGTTAGAATGTATTTTATAATAACTTCCTATTAAAACATTAAAACCAATGATAAAATTATAAAATGATCTTTGACTGCCGCCTGGACATGGATTTATTTTATAATTATCAGAACTGTTCTCACAGAAATCTGCCTTTATTAAAAGCCGGAGGCACTGAGCAAAGTCAAAGAAAGTTCATTTTCATGAGGAGTGACAGGAAACAAAGCCACTCTGTCTTGAACTCAGAGTCACTTTCAGGTCAAAAGAAGAGTAAAAACACTGGAAGGAATCGTTTTAAAACGACTACCAGATGTCATATTATTTTATCCTTCAAAAAAATATTCCCTGAAGTTACTGAGCTGGTAATTTTTCAGTTTGGTAAAAGGTACCTGGAATCTAAGAATCTTTTTGTCCCTCCCTATGAAAGAAATGCATCTGAAAGATATTTTGTAACTAAATGTTGAACAATTCCTCTGTTTTCTGCTGAAGTTATGGGTTATGTGCATCTCTCCTTCAAAAGAAAGTATTAATAAAAACATATAATCCGATTAACAATGCATGAAGACAACAACAGCCAAGCAGCAAAACATCTACGTCACAACTACATTAATTTGTTTCATTCATGTTCACTTTATTATAAAAGAATCTTACAATACACACAGTATTTGCACACCTCTGACCTAACCCTTTCATCCCTTTAAAAGGGAATTTGTTTCTGACTAATGCCACTGTTCCTGTTTAACGTGGTTCAGCATGCAGAATATTGCCTGCAGTGCATGGCTCCTGCTTTCAAATAAATAAAACTAATATCTCAAGGTCTCCTTTGACACCTTTGTCAAATTCTGACACTGAAGACAGAAAGGATCCACATACTGAAAGGCAGTTTTAATGGTGTTTCTCTTTTTGTGAACAGGTTCCCATGAAAAGTAAAGTAATCTGCTTCGCATTTATTTTGCACTTCTGTCTGCATAGCGGCCATTTTTTAAATTATTGTACAAATA